AATACTCTTTGCGTAAACCAAAAAAATATACACTTAAATAGCAGAAAGAGTCTCAAAGTTAAAGCAAAATTTTATAAAACTGCCTTATTTATCCGAGCTTATTCATATTTAGTTCTTTTTATATATAAAAATGATAATATATTCGTTGTATTTACATAATCTTCGGTAAACTTAAAAGTTTATGTTTAAAATTTTAAAAAATATTTGACACTACTTTCTATTATTCAAAAGATATGAAATATAATATAAAATATTTTCGATCGATGAACAATTTTAAAACAAATTGAACAAATTTTAGAGGATTACGCTATTAAATAAAATATAGATCTCAATTATAAAATATATAATAAAATATAAAATATAGTTGTTCATTTATATAGTTGGTACATATTTATAAATATATATACATATATATGTATATATAATACATATACATAAATATCTACAAATTTTCAATTTCTTATTCATACTCTTATTTTATATGATAACGCAATATTACAATTACATAAAATATTAATACTTTGTATTGACTTACATTCCTAATAATATTTAAGAATTTTGTAAATACAATTTGTAAATAAGGTTTTCGAAAAGTGATACAATAAATCCATTCTTATTTTTCCATAAAATCTAATAACTCTACTGGCTTTAAACATTTAAGTACTAAATCTATCGTATATTCTAATCAGAAATACAGTGAAGGAATTAGATGGTAAGTAGTCGATAAAAAGAAATTCTAAGGAATTGGAGGCAATATCAAAGTTTCTTGCATTTATTTAGAAGTAAATATTATAAAGCACTTCTCAGGACAATTGTCAGTAATGTTCAAAAGGTAAAAAGATATCGTATTGGAAAAGGAATTAAATCGTCTACAGTATAACAAGAAAAAAAGAAATAATTGAACGTTAATGATTAAATAGTTAATTAGGTACAATGTAATGAAACATGACTTAAAAACAAGATATAAAGTAATAAACATTAAATAATTTCGCACAATGAAAAAATTTGTCTATACAGAACTTTGGAGAACTGTGATAAAAATTATTGAGAAGCCTTTATCCAAATTCATAAATATTTAAGTAGTTTAGTTTTTAGTTTAAACTATATATATATATATATATATATATATATATATATATATTGGTAACTATAATCATAACAGCTCCAATCATGATTTCAAGGTTAATTATATAAGTACATTTTTAATTAAAGCATCGAGTCCAATTATAAATATGTAATTAAGAAACTCTTCAAGTAATGCACGCCTATTATTTTCTCTAATAATTTTGTAATAATAACAATAATTGAATTACTTTATTAATAAAATTATTTACGTATGATTATTTTAAAAATTTGTCCAAGATCTATGATATTTTGAAAAAATACACATTGAATATTTCCGTTTTACATTATTTGACACATTAAAATCCACAGTAGCATTTAATATAAATTTTTAAGCTACTATTAGGGATTCTGTAATGCTATCTATTTTGCATATTATGGTATAGAATCCTTATTTTAATTAAAAGCATTGATAATAATTTTAATTATTTACGCTCTAAAAGAATGCCCGTGTTTTCTCGTGTAATTATAAATAATTATTCATTATTTTGGAATATTTTCTTACCATTATAATAAATGTTAAAATAAATTATTCCATATTATATTACATTATTTATTTTATTATACTTCCTAATGTTTATTATCATACATAAATTGAACCGTAAATCGACAAAATAGTTGCTGAGATATCATCGTTTATGATTAAGTTTTATCAAGATAGTTTTTATTGACTAATATACCTCAAAGAATACAGTATGATTTTTTATAACGTTGATATGATTATAAATGACGCGACAAAGATAAGTTTCGAGTTCCAAATGAACTCCATAGCAAAGCCATCGATTTGAAGTATTGCATACAATAAGCATATGTAAATTAAAACATTTTCTGGATAATTTTTAAATCATAATCGCGGAAGTTCAATAATACATAAAAGATTAATTTGTTTTATAAAAGTTGTTTTACAAAAAATTGAGATTTTTGTATGATTTTTTTTTTTAAATATTATAATTTACAAAAACATTTTATCATCACTGTATAAGTATAGAAAATTTACATAATCTTCAGAATTTTATGATAATATTACAGTATTTTAGTACATAAACGTAATCGTAAATGTAATTTAACAAACTTCATTATAAATCTATCGTTTTCACCGTGCATTTAAAGTTTTTATTTAGAAATTACATTATCTTTACATTAAAAAGTATGATAAAAATTATGATGTGAATTTATATAGAGCTCGATAACTATATATAGGGCTTACTGGATTAAATTGTCTGCTATTCAATTAAAAAAAAAAAAAAAAAAAAAAAAAAAAAAAAAAAAAAAAAAAAAAATTTACCGAGGTTAATTTAATGCAAAATTATCCTCTAAATATTCATTAGATAAAGTTTGATCGATCAAAAAGCTATTTCAGACAAAAGATAATTAGATAAATGAAAAAAATGAATGATTTAATACAGATTTATTGACAGAAATTAAAATACCAGTAGAATTTCTTAAATATCTTTAAGAGAATACGTGAAACTGTGATAAAATTTAATTGAAATGGGAAAGAAGAAAGAAGAAAAGTTTCTGAATATAAGAATTCTAGGTTTTATAAATGTGATAAAACAACGACTTTTATCTGTTACTCTTTAAAAGAATATATTAAATACTATATTAGAGTAAATTAATTCACTTTGAAGGTAAAATCCAAGTCATAAAATAAAAAACTAAATTGTAAAGGGTGAGAATAATTAATTTTAATTATTTATTACTATTATTATTTATATTTTGATAATCATTATTGTAACTAAATCTTTCACAATTAATTTAATCAAAGTAAGATTTAATGTAATCATTATCATAAGAATAGCCTATGATTTAATTAATTTCTATAATTCTTTTTATAAAAAACGTTATTTTTAATATACTAGATTACAATATTTTAAAAACCAACTTCACATATATATTTTTGGAACGAATAAGTCCACCTCTATCAGTTGATAAAATGAATAAAGATTTTACACTTTTCAATAAAAGTATGGTGTAATAAGCAGGCTAAACAGTCCTTAAAACAGCAAAGAGCTGGGGGCATTTTATTCGAGTAGCATTCCAGTCTCATGTGATATTTATGTGCTGTAAACCACTTTCTTCAAGTACATTGACGTGATGTGGAGATACTAATTACAATTAAATGAAGATAATACCATCTGTAAGAGTTGGAGCTTCGTTACTTTTCTTTATAAATAGCTAAATTTCTTTTAATGTATTTAATTTTTCGTCACTACTTTGTCTATCTACTTCTATTTTCTCTAGTTTTCTTCTTCAATTGCGATAATGTATTGAATTGATTCAATATATAGAAATTAGTATAATCTAATTTTTATAAAATGAAATAATAATTATCACCGAAATTTTAATAATTTTGCATAATTATACAAAGGTTGCACTTCTTAAATTTGAAGTGTTCATTAATTATTGAATTACATTTAATGCAAGGAAGACCTAATTTCTTTAAAATAGAAAAATTCTCACTATTTTTCTAAAATGTTGTATTCGAATATATGATTTAACATTGAATTAAGATTTTTACATTACAAAAATTCTTAATGATAGAAGGCATTTTTAATTCATCCAGAAGTCAATAATTCTATTACAAAAATATATCTTATGTGAAATCAATAGTTATTCTTAATTATTAACCACTTTTTATATATTTGATTTTTTATTCATATTAAATCTGTAATATATCTCTGTTCAATATCATCAATCTTAATAAATATATCGTTTGCATTTTATAAAGAACTTACTTTTAATCCAACAACTAAAAAAAGATATACATAACTTGTATAAATATTATTCATAATTACATTTTATATTTGCATAGAAATATAATTAATGCATATATTTTTATTAAAAATTTGTTTCTATAAAGCATTTTATAAAAGATATTTTAAAAAAGAACATTGTCTACTCTAAATGTAGATTCAGGAACTTGTAGTTTCACAATCGTTATTCTTACTTCGATAATTACAAATGTTCACGTACCTGTTACTTAGAAACTTCCTTATATATTGAGACTACGAAGCCAAATAGTCGTACTATATTATATGTTTAATGAGTAATCACGATAAACATCTAAATTTTAATATTTTAATATTATTATTTATTGTCAATTTTAGGCGGTAAATTTAAATTAAGAGGAATTCAAACTAAAATGATTAAATAAAACAATATATATATATATATATATATATATAACAAAATACCCGTTTTGTTATATGTAAAAACGATATTCATTTTAAATGAATAATTAAAAAGAAGTTTATAGAATAATTCTCTCAAAAATGGAACTTTGAACGGTCTTCATAACAATTTTATAACTGATTTCTATACTAATATACATGTATGATAATTATAACAACTTATTTGATATTATTATAAAGTCTTGTTTACTTAATAAAAAATTCATGAAATTAAATCCAGTCATTAATATACATTATAATTTATAATTCATTCGCTATGTAATGTCTGAATTAATATTAATTAATTATTATTATTACATTTTCTTAAACAATAGTTATATTTCATGTATATAAATTTGGTATGATATTTTCAAATTTACTTAATTATACACGAAAATATGCAAATATATAAGTGTAAGTTATCTAATATTATGTACTCAGATTAATACATTCGATGATTTTCATTCACAAATGAGATTTCACAATTAATATTTATATAAAAATTTCAAATTTTAAATTGAATTCATAGTACATAAAAAAAAGAAAGTTTTATTAAGTCTTGAGATGCATTATTTTTAAGAAAAATTGTTCGTATAATGTAAAAGATAAAAGTTTTGAAATATATTAATAATTTTTGTTCGTTTAACAATTTTTTTTCTGAATTTTGTTTCTTTACAACTTTAAAATTTTAAAACAATTACATGTCTATAATTTAATAGTTAATAAACTTTTTTGCATCTTATCAACATTTTCTTGAGAAAGCGACTTTAGAGGGAGTCGTGGAGGTCCCATATATAAATTAGTCATTAAACTCATAGCAGTTTTCATAGTTTCAATATATCCACCTATAAAAGCATAAATTTATTAAACATAGAATAAAGTGTATATTAATAAGGGATAAAGCAATAAGTGAAAATTATTCTTTACCATATTGTAGTATTTCCTTTTCTATTTTGTTTAGAATATTTTGATTCTTTCTTGCTTCATTAAAATTACTACCTTCGTTACAGAATTTTATTAATTTAATGGAATACTCAGGAATAAAATTCATAGTCGCCGACATAAAAGTATTTACTTCTATTGCACATCCAGCTAATATAATCTTCGTAGAATAATATATATTTAATTATTATATAAAATACATGTTTTACGAACTATATTTAAGGGCCTATCTTAATTTTAATTAATCATAGATTAGATTTTATTAGAAATACTTTCTAAATGGTTTAGTTATTATTTTAAATTAACATTATTTTAATATTAATTTTAATATATATATATATATATATATATATATGATTAATTTTTATTGATACTATTTAATGTGATTTTATAATATGTATATGATAATATAGTTATTTTGGTTGCTAAACTTATTTCTATAAATGTTAAAAATTTTTGCTGCACATGTATAGTTGTTCTATGTATGAATATACGCGATTTTTATCCTCATTTTATCCTCTTTAATGTCTAATCTTAACTATCGTCTTTCTTCTATCTCGTACTTCCCCTTATCTGTTACTCAGCACTGAGTCTTTCTAAATCTGGCTTTGGAATACTAGAAAGCGCTACACACACATATATATGTACGTATGTAGGTATATGTAAAAGTAATTTTTTTACAAATTTCATCACTTTCACTTTAAGAAATACATTTATAATATTAAATATTTATAGCACTTTGTGATTTATATAAATATGTAATTTAAATGATAAAAATTAAAAAAAAATTTACTTGATTAAAATTTAGTGTTAAATATTATCTGCTAAACAGGGTCTTGTTATAATGTATTTTAAATAAATGTTTATGCATCACCTTTATAAAAAAAAACCATATTATGCAAAATATCTACTTACCATTTTACTGCCATAAATAACTGTAAATCTTTTGCTTACTGTTAGCGCTTGTAAGCCATCTTTTATATCACTACTATCTAACTTTACTCCTACTAAAGTTGGAATTTTGTCCTCACTAAATTTAAAAAATTCATCTGCCTTGACTATAATAATTTAATTCTGATTAAATTAATTTAATAATGAAATTGTATATTTATTCATTACTCACTTACTATTAATTTTTACTTTTGAAGATTGATAATATAACAATGGAGTGTTTGGAGCAAGTTTTCCAATACTACTAAAGTAATCAAAAAGCTCTTCAATTTTTGTAGGTTTATAAAATAAGTCAGGTAGACATAATAAAGAATCTACGTGTAAACTTTCAGAAAATATAGTCTAAAAAACACATGTAATTATATAATAAACGTATATGATATATGGATAATAATATAATGTTTAATACAGTCATTACTACACTTATTATGTATGGTAAAAATTAAGTTCAAAATATCTAAAATGTCTTATAATACAATTAGTTATAAAATATTAACATTAAATTAAATAGTAATTTCAATAATTTTAGACACTGCCTATTAGTATATTAAACACTTTTTAATTTAAAATATCAAACTTTTATTTTAATTTTATTGTGTGTATAGTGAAATTTTTTTATTAACTGCTCTAATGTGCGTTAAATGTAAATGAAATTTATAAATCAAATTATTTATTATGACTATAGAAGTAATATTTGCTTTGTTTTAATTGTAATAAGCTAATCAACTTGCAAGTTCTTTCACACCAGCAAAAGTTAATCCACCAATGTGGACCATTAAATGTTGTTTAGTTTCTTTTACAGCAGAAGCCCAAGCTGCAACTAATTGTTTTCTTTCTTCTATTGATAAAGATAGTCCTTCACCAGTTGTTCCACCAACTGTAAGAATTATTTTTCATTTTTAATCAATTTATATTTTTCATATATAAAATCCAAGATATCCATTTTTTCTTAATATAAAGTTTTTAAGCGTTACACATAATATATTGTATTTCCTAAATAATATTATTTTTATGTAAATTATTATTATTATACATAAAATCTAATATGCCTAAATAAAAAAATATTTACATGAAACAAATTATTTAAAATACAGGAAATATTATATGAATACCATTGAAAACTGCCTTTTTTATTATTGAAACAATTCATGACGCAATATCAATTATAATTTTAAAGAATTTTAAAAGCTATATATTTATAAAGTTTCCCATTTAATTCTCCGTGTTGTTTTACTTTTGTATTTTCTACAACTTACCGAGAATGCCAGTAATATTTTTAGATTCAAGGAATTTTGCATATTGAGGAATTATTTTTAAATTTAATGTTTTATTTCTGAAATAAATCATAAATGCCTTAACTATATTATAATATTTTCATTATTACAAATAATAAAATAGTTTACTTACACAATACTTACACATCATCATTAAATGGAGTAAATACTGGAGCCATAAGCCCTCGGAAAGTAAATTCAATATTCTGAAAAAACAATTGAAAATAAATAAAGTCATGCGTGAAAAAATTAATAATTATGACAATATATGTTGATTCACCTTATTCGTTATATTTTTCAAATTACTGTATGGTTTAACAAAATTTATAAAAAATAATGTCACAATTGCTAAAATTATCTGAAATAAATAATAAAAATATAATATTATCAATATAATATTATCAAATTAAAATATTATACATTAGTAACTTAAATATAGAAAGTTCATTGTTACCTAATAACTGAAATTTAATATATTAATGTACAATTTGTAAAGAAAAGAATCAATACAATTCAATTCACATTAATTTTTGCAAATTGATTACTTATAATTTGACTGTCTTAAAATTTATCAATATTCTTATTAACAAAATTAAATATTATACGCAAACAATACCTTCATTTTTAATTATATAAATATAATATTTTTCCTCCTGGATGAAATAAAACTACTAGCCCAACACGTTGATGATACACAACTAACTCTTCTTACATTTAACACAGCATGCAAAAGAGAGTGGCGTTCTACTTTTAAAAACTCATGGACGACCTTTTCACAAACACGCGTGATTCAATGAAATAGTTATATAAATACATAACTTTTCATAAAATCAATATATATTAGTCTATTAGATATATAAAATTTTAATCTTTTTTTTATTTTAAAATGTGTGTTAAATAATAAGTGAGCTCTAACTTATTTCTCTTACCATCTCTTACCAGTACATAACTAATATGAGTACGATGATGTCTAAACTACTTAAGTTATAATAAAATTAAATTTATACTAATTTGAATTGATTTCATTGAATTTAAAATACAGATTAAATCTGCATTAAAAAATAGAATATAAAATAAATATTTGTTTTGTGATCGAAAAAAGTTACTAAGTTCATATAACTAATTATTTAACTGCGTGTGTTATTAGTAAAAATACAAAGATTTACAATGTACACATATAAACTAATAACAATTTTCAATTATACATATAAAAGTTAAGAAAAATAACATGAACATAACAAATTTGAATATAATACAAGAATAATTTTATTCATAATTAAGAAATAACTGTTGTGTAACATAAATATATAATAAATAATAATAAAGTAATAGATATTTTTAACATATATTATCTAATGCTAAATATAACTTATAAAATTAATGTGGAAAGCACTTAAATACTTATAATTAAACAGCTGTAAATTGAATAGCCCTAACAAAAATAGAGACAGATACTGAAAGAAACAAACGGAGTGAGAGAGAGAGAGAGAGAGAGAGAGAGAGAGAGACAGACAGACAGAGAGAGAAAATAAATATTATATACTACATACTAATAATTTTCTAGTCAAAAAGATAATTGAAGGAAGTATTGTATTTGGATGCGAATTAACAATTTAAAATAAACTAATTAGACGAATATCGATATTTAAATTATACGTACTTTTAATATTAATCTACTAGTTCGAATGCTATTAATTAATATCATTATTTTTTCTATTGTTCTTGTTTTATACCAGTGATTGATATATTCTAAGTATTTTTAAATATATCACAATATAACAAATTTAAATTAATTCCAATACAGATTTAAATATTTAAATTCTATTTTCATCTACCTGTAGAATAATCAATCATTGAAATAAATTATCATTCATACATTTATCGATGATTAAACTCTTTTTAAAATAAGTGTTTTACAACTAAGAAATATATATCTACGTGTTAATACATGTATTATTAATTTTATTTAGATATTATTAATTGTTAAATATTAAAAGTGTTAAAAAAAAGTTTATAACTGAGAAAAATGTATAAGGATTCCTTGCACACAACTTAATCACTTACTCACAATTTACTAATAGTCCACCTCGTAAAAAGGAAGTTACAAAAACTTAAAAATTTACTGAATGGATAGCCCTAGGTAATCCATATTAAAAAAAAAAAAAAAAAAAAAAATTACATACAAAATAAAATCAAAAGTTTTAATACAGAAAATTTATAACATAATTACCAAACTTACTTCAGGTACAGAATGAAAACATCATCAGCAGTTTTTAATAATTTATTCATCATTATAAAAAACATCCTACCGTCAAATTTCACCACGAGAATATACTGTCATAATTATTATATAGAATTTTACGTGTTTTTAATAAAGAGTTTTCATCAAAATTGATTTTAATATTAATTTAATAATAACAATGATGTTATCAATTTAATAATAATTATTATTTTGAATTTAAGAATAATAATGAAAAATACAAATTTTTAATAGCATAAATATATATATATATATATATATATATATCAATGCAAGTGCAGTACCGACTGTTTCCGTCATCAGATGAATTACGAATCTCAGACGAAAGAGAGCGCTACATAATATGTTTACGTATCTGTATAATTTCGCTTTCACAATTTTTCATGTTTTAATTAATGACTTTCCGCTGTTTTTTTTTTTATATTACTAAGATCATAAATTTTTTTCATGTACTTTTGTTATTTTTTTTCCTTGCATTATTTTCGTTTCTTTTGTCAATTTCTTACAATTTGTTATACTCCTCTCAAATTTATACTTTTATTTTATTTATTTCGTACATATAAAACTTAATAAAATAAATGTAGTTGAATGTGTGAGTGCGAGCGCGTGGGCGCGTGTGTAAGTATAAAAATTGCCTATTGGCGTCTGATATTTTATTACTAGTTGTTTAATAATATTTAAACAATATACTTTTTTTTTTAATATGTATCTTATATCCACATAGAAAAATTATTCATTGTTCAATAATTCATAAAGTGTAAATATATGAAAGATTGAAACTTTTTAAATATTAAATAATAACTTATATAAATAAATGAAAAATGCAAAAATAAAGCAGATGGCATCTTCAACATGTAATGAATAAAAATGATCTTTTCAAAGATACGTGAAGTAAACTGCAAGGAAATAAAGTTTATTTCACTGTCGAGACATCACTGTTCCTAACTGTTCAAAAGTGGTGAGATTTTTTAATAATCTTAATTTCTGTGCAAAATCTACAAATAAATGTTGTATCGTTTTTACCCGTAGAAAAATGAAAATATATAATTTGAAGAAGAAACGTACATATTTGATTTAAAAATGAATACTACGTTATGCAACAGAAATATTTTTGTTTTTACAGGACTATTAAAAAATTTATTGCAATGTCATAATTTGATTTGGATATTAAAATTTTAAATAGAAATATAATACTGAAATCTAAAATATTCCTCGAGTTTATCAATCATTATTATTGTAAGATAAATTTATTTAAGTGATAAATAACATTAAAAAAATATAATATATATATATATATATATATATATATATATATAGTTATTAACTGAAAGCTAATAACGTTAGTTTATTATTAACACGGCTATTAACTTATTATTTTTATCATAAATTAAATATTTTTTAAAATGTTACAATATGTTGTATTAAATTTATACAACTTTATACAAACAAAATTTAGATTTATTAAAAATTTTTCAAATAATTCCATTCATATATTTAAAAAAATGTAACTTACCTTTTTGTTTTTAACCAAAATTATGTTGGCATAATACAAATTTTTTAATTTAATTAAAGCAGAAGATTTATTAACTTTTTCGTAATCTTGGAATTCACTTTAATCGAAGAATTCATCAAGAGGG